CCCACAAGGCAATATAAATTCTAAGTTTTGTGTGGATGAACTTGACTGTATTCAATTCATGATACCACATGTTTTTTTCATCCAGTTTACCACTGTGTGTATTGACATATTCGTGTTCATGTTTATTCTATTTAAGATGGGACAGTGCACATTAATTAACACGAGCACCCTGATCCATGCATGTGTCTGTTTTTGCCCTACATTACATGCATGCATTGCAGTACAACTTCATGTCCCGGCTGAGATTTGATTTTAAAGTTTCCAAATTCTTGCTTAGGAGGTGCCTCAAGTAGAAATGGGAAAACACCAACTGAACTCTTGGGACTGTTGACTGACAATTGTTGCCTGTTAGAGTCCGTTATCCCACCTTCACCTGGGTTAAATGTCTCTGTTCTCTGATTGGGAACTGCTTCACCTCTACACCACTACTGACATCTCAAACACCTACCACTCGATACAGCTAATACGCCTGCTTTCTGCACATGAAAACACCATGTCCCCACCTGCTGGTATCCTTTATTCTCTTGTCCCTGTGCCTTTGGTTTTTATTCCTGCTCTCAAGGCCAATCAGTTAGCATGGCTGCCTGGCTGGCTAGCAGACTGGCTGGCTGGCTGCCTGTCGATCTGCCACTCTGGGGGAATGTCATCCGTGAAGGACGCCATTACAAGCCTGCCTACGGGACTGTCATGCTTTAACCCCCTCAGAAACATCTGTGTATTGGTTCACGCGCATGTAGGGAGGGAAGGGAGGAGGAAGGGAAGAAGAGACAGAGAGAGAGGACTTGACATAGCATGGAAGGTACAACAGCATCAGTTATATCACAAATGGAGAGTATTTCTTCATTCAGAAGCTCAGAGAACAACACTGAAGACTTTATTTGATGGAAAAGACGTTTTCACTCTTCTGCTGACTGGGCTTTGGTGAGAGTTTGATTGACAAATGATTCATCCAATCACCTGCCAAGTATTTGTTTTTTAAGTGCCTGCCTTTTTCCAAACAATTACCATTGATGGATTCTGAGATAATTCTGTTTGACAATCTGGTGGGTCAGGTTAGCTGTGTGTGTGAAACAGCAAAATGTCCCCTTGGGGACAATAGTGTATATATTTTGTTGTCTTTTCTTATACAGAAAATGTGTATCAGATGCCATCGCCTAGGAATAAGGGCACTGAGTGCTTCAGGCATTTTAATCCTGTCTGATACATTGTCCTACTTTCTTCCAAAACATATTAGGTAATCCAAATAGTAGTGTGTAAAATGTATACTGCCAGCTGGCAATTTTCGATGGATACTACTGTAGGAGACGAGGAGTTAGACTGTCGGTTTCTAAATTTGAATTTGTAAATGCTCAAACTCAGCCGTATATATTCCCCTTCTGATCTGAATTCACAAAGCGGAAGAACAATAATTAAATCATGAATACTGCATCACCTGCACCCACTAGTGATTGGATTCATCTCAGTGTTGTTCTCTTTAGCATATTCAGCTCTTTGAAAGTCTTCTAAGGACTTCAGTGTTGCTGTTAGAAGTTCAGAAAGGGCTCTGATTCATCTTCTTTTTTTTAAATTATCAAATTATTAAGTGTTACATAAATGGCTGCTTCCTTTTCTCCACTTCAACCAAGCGGCGCCGTGACACAAAGGTGAAAATCAGCAGATTCTTTATTCCTTCCTCATTTTCCTCGAGTAAGCAGAGAGCGGGAGATGAAAGAAGGAAAAGAGATATTGAAGTGGAGGGTTGTGTTATCCAGCGCCCGATGGTTTATTGATCCTCGCTGTGCCTCTCCCTCGTTCTCTCTTCACAGGAGGGAGGAGTAAATTGGACTGTTTTCTTCTGCAGTGATTGACGTCTGCCTTCTGTGAGCAATGTTTTCGAACTTGCAGAGATATTTTCAGCAGACTGAAAGATGTTTTTTGGCATTCCCTCTTAAAAAGACACAACTCTTTGAGCGCGTGCTGCGTCTGAGCTGACAGGTGACGAGTGTTCAGCTAAACAACCTACAGTGCACTGTGACAACTCTGTCAACTAAAAACAAAGGGAGAAGAAGACAAATGGCGCTTCTGTCACTTATCGCCAGGACTAGCAAAACAGCACAGCCCAGTCCAAGCATGAAATCGTGTCTGAAGGAAAATCCTTTATGTTCGAGAAAAATAAAAAATAAAAACACTGGTGTTGCAGAGCAAACGCTTAGAAAGACGCAGCAGCCCTTTGTAATTCTGGCCTTTGTTTGTGTGTCTCTGTGTACAGAATGTGTGGTCCCTGCAAGGCAAATGTATCATGTCACGACATACCACATGGCATTGTTATATTACGAGTTCCCTCTTAAGTTTTCTCTTGTTCTCTTTCTAGTTGGCAGCTGCTCTTAGGAAGACAATGCATTCCTCAAATTGACTTTAATCTCATTGTGTCCTTGTGAAAAGTAAAGCTTTTAAAGTTAAGGTTAAGTTGAGGTGCCGGTTGATGTTTGATGGATTTGTTGTGTAAATCCATGTTCATGTTGTAGTTTGGTCATGCAAAGCTGACTTTGTAATTCCCATGTAGTGTTAGTTACGGTATCCACACAATGTACTAATCATAGTCAAATTAAATCAAATAAGCTGTTGAATTCCCATGATTTATACCAGACATATTTGAAATGATTCATTTATCTGCTCATGGTTGAGATTAGCCAGGGATCGTGGTTACGGTTATAAAACAACATTTATTGTTGTTCTGTGAAAGGAGGCCAACATTCAGATTGTCAGTTTCACATAGTTGCAAAAAAAGCTGGCAACAAGGATTCTGATACCAGAATGCAGGTGGAAATATCTGCACAGTCAGCAGGATGCACAGACCACAGAGCCTGCCCTGTCACTCATCACTCTCCTGCACATGTAACACCACAGGGCTCACGGTGAAGAGCTGAGTGAAAGCAAAACTGGATAGGGACGTGGACGACCTTCAACCCTGCCTTAAAATCAGTCACTGTAGCCAAGAACTTTTGTGATTAAGAATCAGTGGAACTCATTTATTATTATTTATTGTATTTTTTGGGCACCTTCACTGTATGGTTTATCAAGACATGCCATGGTGATGGCTAATGTAAATAAAGATAATTCCTTCATTCTTTAAGCCCATAAAAGTCTGCATGGTGTACAAGGTCAATGCAGCTATTTCAGTGGACTTTTTAATGCTTCGTAAGCAATCATCAAGTTGCTGTTTTCTGAAGTAGCCCGTCTAATGAGGATGTCCCTTGTCTGTGCAACTAATGGAGTTCTTAATGTCTTTTGTCATCAATTAGTTTGCTCATATTTGTCAAACAAGGACGACGGCTCTCCTCTCAGCTGAGCGCGCTCACACACGTTCATGTAGAGCATGTGAGGGACTGATCCAGACACACAACCATGTTTCTCTGTCGTCATCAGCCCAGCGGCAATTTAGAAAACAAAAAAACGATCAGACAAAAAAAGAACAGATGTGCTGGTCCAAAAAGCTCTTTGGCCTGCAGGTAAAGTGTCTGGTCTGCCGGTGGCCCGTCCAGCCCTGGTTGTGGTTTTAAATGAAGGAATTTGGAATTAAACGTTGATGAATAATTGTCTAAACTACCCTTTACAAGCTATAACTTTGATTAAGACCCTCTTGTCATCATATCCAACCTGTTAACATCCTCATCAGATAAAACCAGGTCTCACTGCTGACTTAATTCCAGACCTAACTTTGCCTCTCACATGGAAACTAATCCCCCAACAGCCAATTACCAAGGGTTGTTTAAGATCCCCAGAGCCCTATCAGCCCCTAGCATCTCATAACCTAACCCACTACACACACACACACACACACACACACCTCATACTGCTGATTAATAAGGGATCTGAGGACATACTCAAATAACTCGCCTCTCTTCACCCAGTCATCACCCCAAAACACTACTTATTATTAATCTCTCATTATCTCTTGATTGAGAAATCTTCTGTTCATTTGGATGTATCTTCCACGCACCATTAAAGGACAACCCGATACAGCAACCAGCATACTAGTGGTAATAGCAGCGTCCTGTGAGTACGACTGGTTTTTAATCAGTGGAGCATAAAGTTCTGGCTCATCACTGTTCATCCCGCTACTTTAAAAACAAAGCTGAGGATCGGCTAATGAGAGCCCTTAGCCGATTAATTTTTTATTTGTAAGCACAAAAGAAACCGTCAGCAGTGTGGTCTGGTATTAATAAGAACATCATCAGTGGTGCAGATCGTATTCCTCCTCACGTCTTAAAGCCTTTTCCCCGACCAACTGCATCTCAGGCTTTCAAAACTCAGTTGATGGAAGGCTGCCCATGAACTTACTGCAATCTCTACTTTTCCGTTAATCTTTCTTCTTTTCTAAAAGCACACAAAGAACGTCATTCCTGGCGCCGTGGTTTAACTGTTTTTAACATCAGATCGCTTTAGCATTTCCATATTTTCTGTTAAGCAACTGGCGCTTTGCTTATTCATTTCAGTAACAAGATCATCCATTAAGGTGTACGCTGAGGAGAACCCGTCAGACGTGGGTACCGTCCGCAGTCAGCGATGCGTGCTGTGATGAATCGCTGGGAGAAGCTCGGCTCTCCAACAGCACTACTGTGACCACAGAGTATTAATCACAGCCCAACAGATTATTACCCGTCCTCCATCCATCTTTTGCTGGTGACATTGTAGGGTCTAAACAAACAATAGTGTGTTGGTTTTATCCGCAACGTGCAGTATGTTATGAGGCACACGCTCATTATGGATCTGCGGGTGGAGTTAGTGGCCTCTGCTGGAACAATGACTCCTGCTGCAATTTAAGATGATATGATGATTTATTTGCAGAATTAAAGAGACAATAAAGGAGCTAGAGAAGTAATAGGCTGCTGGAAGACAGTGAGATGAATTAATGGTGTCACGAAGCCTGATTGTAGTAGAGCGAATATATTCATGAAAATGAAATAAACATGTATTTTTACAGGTTGATTATGACTAACAAGAGTTTGTTTGTCCTGCAGCATCTCCGACTGTCCCTCCGCTGCACTCGGAGCACTTCAAGCCCTGTCATGAGAAGGACCTGGCCTACTGCCTGAACGGAGGCGAATGCTTTGTCATCGAGACGCTTAGTGGGCCTCACAAGCACTGCAAGTAAGTGACCGACCTGCTGCAGTTGTTGATCGTATTATGAAAATGTCTCCTTCCTCTTTCTTTTCTTCTTCGTAAGAAGCTGCGACTGTGACGCTCAGGGTGTGACTGAGAGTAGTTTGTGATCTGGCTGTCTTTGTTGGACACTTTGGATTCGGATGATGCTTGAATATGTTCATTCTGCTTGAGAACATCTTAAAGATAACTGGACAATATGAACTTTATTATTCATCTGACTGCTATTGTGTGTTTTCCCTGTGTGCTCGCACTGAAGGTGTTTGTTTTTACGTATTCTTTTTGAGAAAGGGGAGAGCAGAGTGCCTTGTTTTTTGATCGGGGGATGTGTTTGTTTGCTTATGTATATTTGATGTGCATATTTGTGTTGACAGACACTTAAATTAAGTGAAAAAAGTGTTGAATGGATCGAGGAATAATCCTTTAGTTTAAGAGGGTCTTTTAAGCATCAATCGCTCCTTTCACCCACTGTTTGTTTTTAAAGATAGTTTTATTTATCTTGTGTTAGAGTTACAGCACAGACCTAGAGTCATGGTAAACAAAAGGCACTTCATTTGAAGTTTTAAAACCCGGCATAATCACATTTTCTAACAAACAGTCATAGTTCCACTTAAATCCACTTAGACTCTTTATGCCATGCTATCCTGAAGCTGTGCTGGAACTACTGTAAACTACTTTAGAGTATTCCTGTAGTTCTCTATTTACTCTATTTACTGTTGGTACAGTAGATATATAGTGTGTATATATATATATATATCTATATATAGGACCTACACCTCTTACAACACTCCTTAATATACTGTATGGAAAGAGTTTCTGCAGTTCAATGTGTGTGTGAGAATGTATATGTAATTGCCATCTTACTTGTGTGCGTGTGCCTGTGTGTGTGTGTGTGTGTGTGTGTGTGTGTGTGTGTGTGTGTGTGTGAGCCTTAGTTGTCCCAGATTTGAGAGTAGAGCTCATGGGCACTTAGCCTGTTCAATTGTGGGGCCCTTTACTAATTAAGTCCCAGAACAACTTCTTCCCAAAATCTAACCGCAGGACTTCCACCCGACCTGTTTTTCAGAGAGCCCGTTTTGCCTCCTCCGGGTTAGAGTATACATCCGTATGTGTGTGGACAGTATGAGGGTGATGATGAGGGGTCGGTTTGTGTAAGTGAGACTAAAAAAGTTGAACATAAAAATGCAATGATGCACGTTAACAAACTATAATGCATTCACATGCACACAAACAATGGACCTCCTGCAAGAACATGTTTGTATTCTGGAAAAACATCTCACCACAGCAAGGCGATCGATGACTGCAACGGAAGAAGGCCAAATATGTTTTTGCACTACCGCAAAAAATATTGTAGTTTTAGACTCATAAATTGTTTGTACATCAGAGAAAAAACAGAATTTATGAATGCGGCAAGTTTTCCTAAATCACTCCTACAAGCCACTTCAGAACGAATCTGTTCGTACCAAGTACTAAGGAGCAACGCACTTTAGTCTGTCTTTAGTTTATTGGTATATTTTGTGTGTAATCCAGTCAAACGTCAACTGAAGTCCATGAGACGTCTGCTCTGCGTTCGGCTTTTATTTCAGAGAGCAGTGATAGTTGACAGAGAGGAGGGGGAGGCAGGATAAGAGAGAGAGAGAGAGAGAGAGAGAGAGAGAGAGAGAGAGAGAGAGATCTATACTGTTCAATCGTGTGGCAAGGAGCTCTCAGAAGGAAAGACATTCACCATCAGACAATACGTCATTAATTCATTAATATAATAACAGCTGGCAGGACCATGCAGTGAAACCATGAAGTGTGTTTTGCACTTTGCTGGAAAAATGACATTTAGAGTGTATAGTTTGGAGCGCAGGAATTAAACCACCGTAACGACTAAGTCTTAACGCTTTTGGTGAATATTTTATGAATGGATGGACTTTCTGAGTAAGGCTCTAGTGACTTCATGGTAAGTTAATGCTGCAGTACTAACATTTAGCAATTCAAAGAAAAAAAATAGGATACTTTGTGCTTCAATTGACATGCTGTTAGACATGAATTCATCGTAATTAACAAAAGAATGACAAAGTTCACCCCAGGCACAGGATCAATGCTTTAATCTGATTCAATTTGTGTTTACACTAAATTGAGACGAATCAGGTTGTAAAAGCGTGATCAATCCAGACGTTTAATGGGGATGAATTGAGCCGCTTTGTGGCATTATATGTCACAGAATTAATCATTTTTACTCGAGATGAAACTTGATCCTTGTTGCAATGATTTTCTCCAAAGAGTCATAACTCAAGTATCAAGCGCCATTCCCGGCCATGTTGTAAAACCAGCGCCGATTGTCCCCTAGAGCGCTGTTCAGCGCTGTCAGTGTGCGACGCTTGTGTTTGTCAACCCACGGGGACGGATGCGGAGAGGGAAAAGGGACTCGACGTGAGTCATATGGTCTCCTTGTTCTACAGACATGCACACACACATGCACACACACCAGTGCCCACTGCTTTGGGCAACATAGTCAGGCATTCAATCATTAGTGCTCAGCTAACCAGTAAATTAGTCAGTGTGCGAAGATAATATTTTCGGAACATGGCAAGAGGCCAAGGCATTCAGTTCTAAAAGTACGTGATGAGATGAATTTGATTAATTACTTTCTCAGTTTTGCCGGATTTCTCAAAAAAGACCAAAACAGTTTTAGTAATAAAGGTTTTAGTGTAATTTCTGGTTCAAATAATGTCTATGCAAATATATTCCCTTCACTATTTGCCCATATATTCCTTTACTCTTGTCTCGTTGCTCTCTTTATTTTCATATTCCGGGTCTTGTGGCGGCTCTCTGGGTAACGAACCTACACTTTCATAATTGTCTCAGTCACTGTGGAGCCAAAACATCTGGGGATGTAGCTCCTCCTCTTCTTACTGGCCAGTATACATTTATTCTACCTTAAGATGTATTCCATTTCTGGCCTGTTTATTATGTATTTCCTCCTGCTGGTGTGACTGGGCAGAGAGGGTCTCCATCAGTCTAGTTAGCAGCAGGGGCTAGCTAAGCCCGTCTCATCGCCCTTCGCCGAGAGGCCATTCCAGAGCGTCACAAAGGCAATCTCTCCTGCCAGGTGGAGGTAGAGGGGGTTTGGAAAGATCCCTGAAAAGCCCCCGTCAATCAGACCTGGGTCTGAAAGAGACACTCTCTAGAGGGCAGAAACAGATATATGCCACACACACAAACACACACAGTTGGCACAGTTTGTGTTGGAAGCCCAGACTGTGTTTGAAGTCGTAGAGCCGACCCTTCGCCAGCTGTGGAATGTTTAAGATCCTTCTGCAGCTCCAGTGCTAGTGTTTTTTTAAACAATATATTGTGAAGAAAGTATGGCTGCTGTAACGCATCATGTGAGTATTTACGGTAACATACACACCCTCTCACTGCCTCTCAGACCAAAAATGGAATAGATTAGCAGTATCTGAAGGATATTTATGGTAGTAATGATAAACATGTTACGAAGGCTTCAAATAAAAAGCACAATGACGTCATGCATTACCACCACGGGCCCCTTGCTCTTCATTCATCTTCCTCTTCTTTTACATCATCCACCTATTTCATCACAGACCCCTCCCACTGGAGTGATAGGGACTTCTGGCTGCATGCATTCCACCACGGTAAGTACACAAAACTGGAGTGGCTTTAAAGAAAAAAAGTGAATTTGTGTGAAATGAAATCGCTTGATAACAACGGTTCTTGCATCTGTTTGCACGTGTAAGAAAACAAACAAGCAAGGAGTGGGGGAAGGCTGTGCAGCAGACAAGCCACTTCTGTCTGGAGTGTAATCCTCCCCTCCCTCCCTCCTCCCCTCCTGTCTCTCTGGACTCCAGCCGGTCCTCTCCTGGGTGATCACAGCCTTTTCCAAAGCATTCATCCACGGACCAACGCCACCAGATTGACTTTGGCCTCACAGGTGCAAAGAGTGGCTGCTCGTAGGAATGCATAACATTACCTTCCCCGCTCGTACACACACACATACACAGGCAAGCCAATTAACATGAAGCATGCATGAAATTGAAAACACAGCAGAAATAACACACATCTAAGCTGCCAGTAAACAAGGCGATTAAAACCCATACTTTAAAAAAGAACAGGCAGCTGAAGAAAGACTGCATTTCATGCGCCATATGAAATATTCTTAATATTGTTATGTATAGTATGTAGCCTATAAAATATTCCATAATATATCATTCTTACAACTGGTACTAACTGGACAAGAAAATTATGCAACACTTGCATAAACAGGCAGTAAGCTGTGATTCTGCGAAAAATGCTGCCAATGATTTACCAACATTGTTATACAATTGGCTCACAATCATTGGTAGAGGCAGCAAGCAAATGTTGATTTTTATTCCACAGAGTTAAAAATAAAATAATAATTTTGGACCCGTCAAACATATTTAAATAAATAATTCACAATCATATATTTTATTTTATTTTTTGGAAAAGCTGAACTTTTATTCGATACCTTTCTTAAAGCTCTGTGGATGTTTTTTTTATGTTTTTTTTTAAGTTATTCGTCTACATAAAAAAGTCAGGTAAACCATCAAATCAGTGCTTACAATGTTGGAAACATACTTCACACTGAAACCTAAGAAATAAACATGAGTAGTAGGTAGTCTCCAAGGTCCTGAAGTCTCTCCTCTGGGCGTTAGGAAGGACATATGCATCCACTCACACAAAACCGCACGCCAGTGAGTTTCAGTCACCCCAAGAGACCCACGCCATCACAACAGTTAACAGAGCAGTCAATGAATAAATGGAGGGGTCATTGCATTCTGTACATTATTGTTTCTGACAGCAGTCATTTTCCTTGACAGGAAAAAGCCTCTGGGATTGATGTGTCGAATGCTAAAGTGCACACCTGTGTGTGTGTGTGTGTGTGTGTGTGTGTGTGTGCGTGTGTGTGTGTGTGCATGTGTGTGTCTCCCTGTAAACAGCGGTAAAAAACATCTATTGACATT